CTCGGAGACGGCCTCGCGGGTGAGTGAGCGCCGGGCTCTGGCCCCAGGGCGTGCAGAGGCCGGGGCGGCGGCGGCCCGCCCCTGTCGTCTGCTCCCCGGGGCCTGGAGTTGTCCGGGTCGCCTTTCCGTGAGAGCCCCTCAGGTGCCCGAAGTTAGCTGGCCCTGGACCGGGGTTGTGAAGCAGTAGATCCGCGGGAGGGTACGCAGTGTTGGGGGAGACGCCAGAATGACAAGGAGGAGCCCGGGACACAGCTTTCTTTTTTCGTGTTCCTGGGATGATCTTTGGACCCAGAACCTTTGCCCTGAGCTACATCTCAAGCCCTTTAAAAAATTTTTTTTTGTTGTGAGAGAGGGTCTCACTAAATAATGTAGTCGCCCAGGGTCGGCTCGAATTTGCCATTCTCCTGCCTCGGCCTCCCAGCGTGCTGGGATTGCATATGTGCGCCACTATGCCCAGTTTGGAGCGCAGACTTTACCAATGTAGGCATATTCTGATGTAATGCTGAGAGCTTATTTTTTATGGATGTGAGAGAAAGGAAAAGGTAACAATTTTTCTTATCGGCCCTCTCACATTTGTCGATTTTGGCAAGCAATTTCAAGGATGTGTCTAAGCAAAAAGAACAATAACTGCTCTGTCTTTGCTTAAAACGCTGCTGAGAAAACCGAGATGAACTTTAGAACGTAGTAAGCCAATACAAGTTGCTTGTTAATTTACAATGTGATATTTCTGCTCTTAAGATATACATATAGTAACAATCTGAAAAGAAAGACACTTACATTGAATAATTCACGTTAGAAAAATTGTCATATCCACCTAAATAGTGACTGGACTTAGTATTTTCGTTAGTATTTTGTTATTTGCTTGTCCCCAGATAAATGGCTATTAACATAAATATTTGCAAATTAAATGAGGAATACTCAAGGCAAAGATATTTTAGATAACAGAAAAACTATTGAAAACACAAAAATGCAGCTTCTGAATGAAGCACTGATCGCTGGAATTCAGCTTTTGTGACAGGCTTTCATTTTAGCATGTTTATATTTCAGGTTATTTCTAGAAATGCTGAAAATCTGACCTCAATTTAATTAATCCACTTGAAGTCTTATCTACAGATATGCGCAGACTACATCCTAAAATTAACTTCTGGCTCAACAGCAGTGCATGAGCAGTGATTTTACTTGGAAATGATGTATATGCTTTTTAAGACCTGGTATGATCTTTGCTGGGCATAGTGGCGTATGTCTGTAATGTCGGCACTGGGGTGACTGAGGCCATAGGGTCCCTGCGAGTTTGAGGCTAGCCTGAATGTGGTGAGACCCTGTCTCAAAAAAAAAAAAAAATAACTGGTGTAATCTAGATATATCTTGAATTTTGTCCCCTGCCGCGCCCCCCCCCCCCCTTTTTGTCTTTTTGAGACAAAGTCTCCCTATGCAGTTCAGGCTGGCCTTGAGTTCAACTTATAGCCAGGGTTGGCCTTGAACTCGCAGTGACCCTCCTGCCTCAGTCTCCCCGGTGCTGGCATTACAGGTGTGAGCCCCCAAGCCCTGCTCTGCTTACCCCTTTGACACTGTACTTCACTGCAGCCCTCAGTTCTGCTATATTTGCTTGAGTTTTATTATGAAACTGTTGGATGATGTCTCAGTTTTTACCTGTGCAGATATTGTACTTTTATGGTAAGTTTGTACAGATGCAGTGGTACATTCCCGCAGTCCTCGTACTTGGGAGGCTAAGGCAGAGTGATCTCAAATTTTAGGCTGACCTCGGCTACATAGTGAGTCCCTGTCTTAGAAAAGCAAAAAAAAAAAAAAAAAAAAATTCCACCCAGATGTATTTCCTTTGATGTATAGTCCATTTTAATATTTGGATATTAGTTTTAAAAATTGTTCTAGCTTTAAAATGCGTGAGTATTCATTTTTTGGGGTACTAGGAATTGAACTCAGGACCTTGTGCTTGCCAGGCAGGCACTGTTCAGCTGAGTGATAGCCCCAGCCCTGCATGAGTATTCTTAATAGGTTGAGTGAGATAATACAAAATGCAAAGAACCGTATTCTGTCTCATCACATATTCTTTTGTATCATTTACTTATTCTGCTGTCTGAAGCTTAAACCTGGACCCACACTATTAAAATACATTTCAATTGACTTTTATTTTTCATCTTTACCAATCTGAGGAAAGCAGACTAGTCAGACAATGTCTAGAGAGAAATAACAATTTTAGAGGGAGAGAAGATAACAGATGTACTGTAACTTTTGAACTCTAGGAAATGTTTACTAACAATTAGACATTATATGTCTTTAATAAATAGGGTGATTTCTATTAATATACCTGGGAGCCTCTGCTATATATAATGCTGCTGAAGTGAAAAAGTTTATGAGGTAGCCACGGCAAAAGTTGCTAAGGCCTGCTTGGATGCTTTTTATAAAGCAGAGGATAACTCTGTGGCTTTCCAAAGCACTGAGCTACATCCCAGACCTTTTTTTGAGTCTGGTTACGAAGTTACCCAGAGGACTCAAACTTGTGATGTCGAGGACTAGGGGCGTGTGGTTCATTGGCAAGGTGCTTGCACAAGACCCTGGGTTCAGGCCCCACCACCAGCACCAACACATACACACACACACACACACACAGGCATATTAAAAATAGAGATGTTTCATTTGGGGCCATCAGTTTTAACAGGAATAGTGTGAGAAGAAAAATGGCACAATCATTATATATCTATAGCTTCGAGACCATATGAGAGAAACAGCAATGACTACATTAAAAGAAGTAGATAAATCCAGAATCATAGTGTTCTCTCTCCCTGTCTCACCCTTTGGTTGACAGGGGTCTAAGTGCTGCTGTGGCCCACATAGAGTGGTTGTGTTAGTGCCTTAAAAACATTGGTCATTGTGGGTTTTTTTTTTTTTTTTTTCACTTTATTTGTGTAACATTGTAATCGTGGCTCCAAAGAAAGTGATACAAGCAGTAGTAAAGCTAAGAGGAAAACTGTTAAGTATAATAGAGTTAAACAAATCATTGCAAAATTTGTTAAAGTCCTGGGAAAATGAATTTACAAGTGTAATTTTTTGGCCTCAGAACCAATTATATGGTTTTCCATTATATCTTTTGGGGGCAGATGTGGTTAATTCTTGAACCTTTTGGTGTTTGAACACAAATTTGGGATAAATTCAGTTTGACAACCAAGGTATCATTGTAATCCATGATTAGAAAAAGAATTATACTGAAGATTAGGAAATATTTCTAGGAGAATGACTAGATGAGATTTATCAAGATCTATGAGCTCAGGGGCTGGGGATTTAGCTCAGTGGCACAGCACCTGCCTGGCAAGCTCAAGGACGTGAGTTCGATTCCCGGTACCGGAAAAAAATAACAACAACAAAAAGATCTATGAGCTCAGTCAGTGAAAGCAGGGTTCAGAAGAACAGGTGTAGCTTTGAATACAAAGTTATTGGAAAAGAGAAAGTTAAAGTTTTCACTTTGCTAGCTTTAGCTAGAATAAGAACAGCAAATCAAACCCAAAGTTAGTGGAAGGAAATAATTACAATACCAGCAAATAGACAGGCAGATTGGCACACACCTGTAACCCCAACATCCTGGGAGGCTGAGGCAGGAGGATGACAAGTGTGAGCCCAGCTTGGCAGCTTAAGCAAGAACTTGTCTATTGCATTATATTTGTGTGCTTCTCTTATTATTACATTGTAACTTATAATGAAATTATATAACTTACTATAATGCAGAATCAGTGGGAGCCCTAAGCTTATTGTTCTGCAACTGGACAGTTCCATCTGGGGATGATGGGCAACAATGACACCCAGAGTGAATTGTTTATGTCCAGTCTATTCCTTAATTTCATTTTGTTTGCTGTTGTGGCAGAAAATCCTGCTTCACAAAGAATAGGACAGTAGAAGTTGAAGTAGGTTTTCCAGTGCTGTTGTGGCTATCTCAGCATAGTCTGACTTGACTTTAATCTAGAATGTGCAAAGATTTGAAGTTGTCTCAAACATTTTTAAAGAATTTGTACAAAGATTTGAAGTTGTTTCAAACATATTTTTAAGGAATTTGGATCTCAAGCACTTTATCCGCTTCTAGCACAGGCAAAGTTGTTCTGCCTGGTTTATTCACAAACGGGTCATGGATCCATTCTTTCCCAGTTTGGGTGTCTTTTGTAGTTGGGAAGTAGTACTGCACCTCATTTGAAAGCTGAGGTAGATCATGCACCATCTTAGAAAAGGAAAGCCTTAACTCTGTCTTTCATAATCCCTACTTTTGAAGTGCATGAAATACACCAAAATTCATTCATCGCTTTCATAATTATGGTTTGCCCTCAACTGCAGACGCTTTATCTGACATTTTGAATACATTTGTGATTCTTCCTTGAAGTATCAAATTGAGTTCCTTGCACAAGTTCAGTATGTCACATGAGTTAGCAAGTTTTATGACCCATTCTGTGTCCCTGAAATGTGCTACCAGTGGTCAGTTTTTCTAAAAGAAATCTCTGATATAGCTCTTGTAAGTTGAAAACTGGCTAGTGTTCTACCTTTAAAAAGCTATCTCATTTCTGTCTATGAGAGAAGACATTTGCACTCTTCATTCATCCCTTTACAGAGCTGCATGAACAAACATGAATTAATGACATACACCGTAATGTGGTTGATAATTATAATTATCATGTAAAATATTAAGTGCAGGGGACATTTTTCAGCTAGCCAGCATTTCTCTATGGATAACACGGTGTGTAGACTCATCTTCAGAAGCATCCTGTTAGACCTGAGTAGTTAAACCAGAAAGCTGTCTAGTCATGACAGTTGTTCCACTGGTGTATATACAGACATAAAGTGACTTTAGTTTTCCTGATGTGTAATCAAAGACTTGATTAGTTCTGCAGCTATGGTCTTGGTTGGTTAAAAAGTACACATAACATATCCTCATGTACATCCTCTTGAAAAATACATCCTACAAAAATAAACATTGTCGCCTTGTCAGCATCACTGCACTCATCAACCTGGGTTGTGTGCCAGTGAGTCATTAATTCTCACTAACAGTGGTGCCCCAATATTTTCTATTTTATCAGTTAATCTAGTTATATGGTGCTACTGGAAAAAGGACCATGTGCCACTTTTAATTTTTAAGAGCAGAATATATTTTTTGGGAGAAAGAAAGCTTCTGTCAGAGAGAAGGACAGAAGGGGACCCAGTGAGTTGCCAAGGAAACCTACCCTTTCCAGGGATTTTTGTAGAGCAAAATCATGAGGTGAGGCAGGTCTGAGGTGGGAGACATGGGAACTCGCAAGGTGGACATGAGGTGAGACAAAACTATGATCAACCAATAAGATCATAAGCATAATTGCCCAGGTAAAATTGATTAAATTGGTATCAAATGGGAAAGCTAGTCGTGTAGCAAGTGGACATGAATACAGAGCAAGGGCTTTTCCTGTAGGGGGTTGGGTTAATTACTCTTCTGGCTTTTTCAAGGTGATTGATACCAATTTAGAATATCAATCCCTGAGGTCCATCCTTTAGGAGGTATGTGGGTGCATTTGTT